TCGCCACTGGTAGAAGGTCACATGACAGACGCAGGTGCCATGGGTTGACTGACTGAGATGACTGGCAGATGCACCAGCTGTGCCCCCTTCTGTGCCAACTTTTAGCTGCCCGGTGCTCCGTTCGTTGTTGTGAGCATCGCTCCTCTGCCCTCCGTTGTTGTTGGAAAGCGACTGCCTCCAACTGCCCAGACACAGAAACACATTGACAAACCTACGCACCTTCAACCACACAGTGTACTCATACACATGTACACATACAAAAACACATGGACATGTAAACACACATGTACAAGTACATACACGTGCACGAAGACATACATACACACGTACGTTCACATACAACAACAACAACAACCGTCTTTCGTCACCCCACACACACACACAGGAGAGTGACATTACGAGGAGACTCCCACACTCCACGAGAATTTCACGGGAATTCCGTGGCTTTACAGGGGACGGCGGCAGCAAGTGAGTCTGGAGAAGAAGGAAGGAAATGATGACGATGCTCATGGTGATTATTGACACTGGCTGAAACAATAAGAATATGCCGTAGGCTCACTGGCGTTTCTGGAAGTGGCCCGTTTTCAAAGGGGGGAACAGAGCTTAGGAGATCACAGTTTACACCGTGCCTCTGCTCAATATGGGACAGGATGGAAGGTGAGGACTGAGTCAGACCTGCCATGGAGCAGGGGAGCAAATAAAAAATAGTTATCATCTTTTCTTGAAATGTTCCAGTGTTCTCAGGGCCCAATAGTGTTCAGTGTGAACTGTAAGTCAGCCCATCCTCCTAAAACGTCCCGTCGTCCATTCGCCGTCATAAAGTAGCATTACGGTATTTAAAATGTTGTGTAGGGTTCCTTTCATTTGTCAGTGCCGCACCAGTGTCGGGGCGGGGTGAGGCTGGGTGGGTGCGAGGTGGTGCGGCAGCCGAGACGTAGCCAGCAGTTGGCAGGATGGTGGCTCACTTATCTTGGTGGGGCGGTACTGGCGCCGTATCAGTAAGGATTGGGAGTGCAGGGGGGAGTTATGGAGACATTGGGGGGCTTGAGGGTGACCCCTTGCACCGGTCGCCTGAACGTCTCGCTATGGCTCTGGCACTTGTGCTTGAATGCGAATTTCAATGTCGTCCCTTTTTTTACATGAAATATTCATCACGAATTTTGTTTTAGCTTTGTCATTAATTCACCACAAATTCTCCCACCATGCACGCGCTGAGAGGCTCACGATTTGAGATGGGATGGGAAAAAGCATTCTGACAGGATTGAATGATAACATTTAAATGTCTTTCACTTGTCACTGTAATATACACTCACAAACCCATGTACATACATACATCAGCCATGATTGTGTCCACTGCCTTCCTAATAAGCACGTTATCATAATCTCTCACTACTGGCATGCAAGCTGGTTTCATTGCTCCTACTCCACAGGGGGCATCTTCTATGGTGTGTTTCACATCTAATATAACATATGCGGGGTGATCCATTTATAGATACTCCACTGATGTATTTAAAAAAAACATATGCTGTACACAGTTAACATGCATACGAGATATGAAGCTTTCGTGACTGCAAGGATTCATACTCTTAGGTTTTTTCGGTAAAGTCACGTAGGTAAAAAAATAAAATGAAAATTTATAAAAGTAATAATAAAAATAAAATTATAAATAACGACGTTTCGGAGGCAACACAAGTCTCCGTCATCAGGTGGCCTCACTTGATGCAGTAAATTTAGCTGTGACGGTCCCACCTGATGACGGAGACTTGTGTTGCCTCCGAAACGTCGTGATTTATTATTTTATTTCCATTAATATTTTTATTATTTATTTTTTATTTTCTACCTACGTGACGGTCCCACCTGATGACGGAGACTTGTGTTGCCTCCGAAACGTCGTGATTTATTATTTTATTTTTATTATTACTTTTTTTAATTTTGATTTTATTCTTATTTTTTTACCTACGTGACTTTACCGAAAAATACCTAAGAGTATAACATTAACACGGACGGTGACATGTAGCGCTTTGATGGCTTGTTGCAGAGGTTCAAATCAAGGTCACGCTCACTACACACGAAGTGCTTGCCACAAACGAACACCTGAACCGCGACACCTTGTTGATCTCTTCAGGGACTGTGAACCATCACGCCAACTCCGGTCATCTTCGCAGCGGCTTTTGGCTGGCCACCGAACAAAGACGGGTCACTGCATCGTGCGCTTTCAGATGCGTTTCTGCGGCCGTCTGGAACGCTCTTCCTTCCAATGTTAGGAAGCTACTGGAGCTGTGCACCTTTAAAATATCTAGATTGATAATCATTTCTTTAGAACTGCTTTTTGTGTTTAGTTTGTCGTCCTTCCCCCGCATCTACGATCAGCGCAGTTGGCTACGTGCGGTGCGAACGTAGTTCAACATGCAGTACAATCGTGCATGCAAGCGGCCACCCTGACTATTAGTGCGGGTGTGATCAGAATCAGAATCAGAAAGGGTTTTATTCGCCATGAAAGTTTGCACAAACAAGGAATTTACTATGGCAGGGAGGTGCATACATTCAACATGTAGGAATCTTAAAAACGTAAATAAGTGGTATACAGTCTAACTATACTAAAATTACAAAGTCTAACTAATACTCAGGGGCTAAAGTATGTTCAATTTTGAATAAGTATACAATATAAACTAACCGTAATATACAATCCTAAAATACAAAAAATACACGACACTATGGGCAGCCTGCTTCGTAGTGGACGTTACAAATCCCCCTGAGGTCATTCGCAAGGGTAGGCGATTGTGTGCCGGCGTCGGTGTCCAACTGTGGCAAATTCTAAAACTTACCCACCAATTACCAACTCAACTGGGATTAATACAGCACATTGCAATCAGCGCTTTTGGCAGACAAATGCTCCAAGGTGGTCACTCTTGCAATTGAGACTCCTCCTGGTTCTCTTGAGTTATCACCCGGTTAAATAAAATAAACTTGTAAAACTAACATACCAGAATGGCTGTTTCCTCCCATCCCGTACTGTGTTCAACCTCCACTGCAGGTCACAAAATTGACCTTTCTGCTTCCTCGCTCACTCTGCTCCACTCTGAAAGCCGCCACCCATCGTCTCTACCCCCCACGCCTCCCCCAGTTCTTATAATAACCTTGCTCCATTCACGAAACGCGTTACAGCTTCGACGGTGCTGTTTGTTGCTTGCCGCTTGACATTGCTTGCGTCTTGGGGCTGTGCTCAGCAACTGCGTTTCAAAGAGGCGACACGCACAGACACACTGCGGACACACGTACGCACAAATGCAATAACAGGGCACCGAACAGATCCGATTCCCGTTACTGGGTTTTTGTTTTTCCTGTCAATGACGGGAAGAGACGAACTACACATCCACAGTCTACATAGGAACATAAATGCATTCATCCACACACTGTACAGACACACAACAACATCAGTCGCCATTCGCCACTAAGTGACGTGACCATGGCGCTTGTGCCAGGCTAGGTGCACTTGAAGTGCCACGTGAAGTGTCAAAGGTGCGCTGGCAGGAGGTAACGGGGCAGAACCAGGTGCCATGAGTTGACTGACTGAGATGACTTGTGGATGCACCAGCTGTGCCCACTATTGCGCCAACTTGCTGTGTTTTATCCACCTGGCACTCTACACACACATTCTACACACACACATTCTACACGCACACACTTTCTACACGCACACTCTGTACACACACTCGACACACACACATTCTACACACACACACTTTCTACACGCACACGCTGTACACACACTCGACACACACACATTCTACACACACACACTTTCTACACGCACATGCTGTACACACACTCGACACACACACTTTCTACACACACACACTTTTTACACGCACACGCTGTACACACACTCGACACACACACATTCTACACACACACACTTTCTACACGCACACGCTGTACACACACTCGACACACACACTTTCTACACACACACACACTTTCTACACGCACACTCTGTACACACACTACACGCACACTCTGTACACACACTACACACACTCGACACACACACACTTTCTACACACACACTCTGTACACACACTACACGCACACTCTGTACACACACTACACACACTCGACACACACACTACACACACACTCTGTACACACACTACACACACTCTGTACACACACTACACACACTCGACACACACACACTTTCTACACACACACTCTGTACACACACTACACGCACACTCTGTACACACACTACACACACTCGACACACACACTACACACACACTCTGTACACACACTACACACACTCTGTACACACACTACACACACTCGACACACACACACTTTCTACACACACATTCTGTACACACACTACACACACTCTGTACACACACTACACACACTCGACACACACACTACACACACACTCTGTACACACACTACACGCACACTCTGTACACACACTACACACACTCGACACACACACACTTTCTACACACACACTCTGTACACACACTACACGCACACTCTGTACACACACTACACACACTCGACACACACACGCAGTTACTGGCAAACTGGGGGTGCACAGATGAGAGCAAGGGGAAGGATGGGATTCTGTAACTGAAACAATGCTCTATTCTGTGATATAGCTGACCACAAGTATTCATGCCACATATATAGATTAATTTACTATACTTACGTGAATGCGGGATGCATGAATGTCGCATATAATCATACCATAAATATCAATGCAGAAAATATCAATATTGCACGTATTAATACTGACTTAAAATATAACATATATACAATTGGTCGACGTTTCAGGCAATGGGCCTTCTTGAGTTTTATGTTAATTATGCTTGTGCACAGCTGCCAGCGGCTCCCGACCTTGTCACGTGCTGGACGACAGTGACGGTGAAGACAACATTTAGAATTTTCAGAGCTGTAATTTTGTAAAATGTAACTACATTCATCGTTTTTTTTCTCTTCTCTTTACACAGCCATCGGTGATGATACTGATACGATCAACGCGTTATGTTTGAGAACCCGGTTTAACCACGGAAGGCTGCCCCCCGCATCTCGAGCCCAGCTTCTCGGTGGTGTCAGCCGAGCTCTGATCTGACCTCTGGGCCACTCGGCCACCTTCCCAGCTGCCGGCGCAAGGGACATTTGACCTTTTGTGAACCACACCCATCCACCGGCACCAACACAGATCCAGCACAGGTGAGTGGTTGACGTTAAGACGAAAGAAAATGTAAGTTTTGTTATCGGGTTGATGGAGGTTGGGTGATCAGTTCCAGAGTTTACCAGGAAGGGATGGTGCAGTGGTAACACTCGTGCCTCACCTCAAGATATGGGTTCGATTCCCGACCTGGGCACATTTCTCCGTGGAGTTAGTATGTTTGACCCCTGTTGTGCATGGGGTTTCCTCCGGATTCTCTTCAGAGTGTCCTTCCTTAGCTAACGAAAACATACAATGTCATTGGTGTGCGCTAAAGATCTCAACGCAGGACCTTCCTTAATAGAAGTCTAGATTCAGTGTGGCTTTCCTGAGGAAGTAACTATTATTGTCATAAAAGTTATTAATGGTATTACTGTAAGGAGGAGGATGAGTTCCAGAGTTTAGCAAGGTGAGGTAGGGTCAGTAAGGAGATGAAGGCAAGATATGTAAATGGTTCGACAGTGGGTGGGAAATTGTGAGTAAGTGGATGGATCTGCAGTTGGTGAATATTTAAATATTGGGAGACTTCATGAGAGCACTAAGCGGCAGAAATGTCTCAGATTGATAATGTACAGAGTGTTTATATGTCTCTCAAGACGTGTCTATCTATCTCTGTGTGTGTGTCTCTCTCTGTCGTCTCTCTCCGCTGTCTCCCTCCATGTCCACGCGTGTGAGCAGGTCTTGTCATGACGGCGCTGTGCACGCGGTGTTCCCTCCTGTGCCTCGTGCTGCACGTCTCGACAGGTGGGGGCGCACGCACACACGCGCACACACACGCACACACGCACACACACGCGCACACACACGCACACACACGAACACACACACACGCACACACGCACACACACGCACACACGCGCACACACACGCACACACGCGCACACACGCATGCACACGCACACACACGCACACACACGCACACACACACACGCACACACACACGCACAGGGACGCGCACACACACGCACACACACGCACACATGCGCACACACGCACACACACGCACACACGCGCACGCACAAACGCGCACGCACAAACACGCACACACACGCACACACACTCACACACACGCAAGCACACGCACACACACAGGACAGTCCGCATCATACCAGAAACTGAATGATGTACATCAGTCACAGCACTCGCCCATGGAAACTTCGTTATACAAACTCGAGTCAGTGCTCATTCTGACCGCAAGCAACCAGGGACCTATGCTGATGACGATAAGCTCTATACAACGTCTGGAATTTTACCTAGATAAAAACAAGGTTCCCCGACTGAAAGATGATCATGCTTTTTATAGCATTGGTTGGAGTGGTGTAGCAGTGGTGTGTGCGCTGCGCTATGACCCCAGCGGCCAGAGTTTGATTCCCAGGTAACATCAGTGGCGAGTGAGACAGGAACTGCTCCTGAGAGCCCCTCCCCCACCCCCCCCCACACCTTCACCAATCCGCACTAACCAGTGTTGTGAAGTATAGTCTAACGCAGTGTTCTTCATTGCAAGGCTCCCGGGGTCACTGGCGGCCCTTGACGTGCGGCCCCCGCACTAAAGACTTGCTTCTTATCGGCAAGAGTGGCCCCCGTCTGAAAATGAGTGAAGAACATTGGTCTAGCAACACTCGTGACCAACACTCAATGAGAAATATCGATAATGGCACCATTAGAGGCCAACATATGTGTAATAAAGCTCGTTGAGACGACTTCTGGAATCCGTCTTTTATTCAACTTATGTTACAGTTACTTCACGCTGCTGACAGGCAGCGTGAGAGGGACAGATAGAGAGAGAGACAAACTGCCACGTGGCAACTCGGAGCCCCGCTCCCGCGTGCCCCCCTTCCTCTGTTCGTTCCCGTTCTCACCACGTGTTGTTCGTCTCCACCCCTATTTAATACCCGGGTCACGTGGTACGTTTCCGCTAATCCTCGTTAGCCTGCATGGAATTTTCCAGGCTCCCTCGTCAGCTCCCAGGACCACGCCCCTGACTCATCTCCCCATTGGCTGTGGCCAAAGCCAGCAGAACCAATCCTTATAGCTGTCACCTTTCCATCACGTCAGGGCCATGCCCCCAGGCTTCCCCCCATTGGCTGTAAACCAGGACCGACAGAGCCAATCACCATGACGAGTTGTGATACGTCAGTGAGCCGGATATATCCTCATATTACGTATGTATTCATGCTTAAGAGTCAAGGGATAGGGGCCACCCTGGTTAACACTGCAAGTGTATTAACTATGAGCCGCCTAACTTTCACAACCATCCCCTCTCTCCTTCGTTCTCTTGTTCATCTCTCTGTCATCTCTCCTCTCACTTCCCTCTCTTCCTCCTCTCTCCACCCTCCCCTGTCTTCGTTATCCCCTCTCCCTCCTTTGCTTTCTTCTACCCATCTCCCATCCTTCCTCATTCTTCTCTCCCCCCTCTCTTCCCCCTCTCTCCTCGCCTCTCTCCCCCCTCTCTCCTCCCCTCTCTCCTCCCCTCTCTCCCCCCTCTCTCCTCCCCTCTTTCCTCCCCTCTCTCCCCCCTCTCTCCTCCCCTCTTTCCTCCCCTCTCTCCCCCCTCTCTCCTCCCCTCTCTCCCCCCTCTCTCCCCCTCTCTCCTCCCCTCTCTCCCCCCTCTCTCCCCCTCTCTCCCCCCCTCTCTCCCCCCTCTCTCCCCCCTCTCTCCCCCCTCTCTCCCCCCTCTCTCCCCCCTCTCTCCCCCCTCCCCTCTCCCCCTCTCTCCCCCTCTCTCCCCCCTCTCTCCTCCCCTCTTTCCTCCCCTCTCTCCCCCCTCTCTCCTCCCCTCTCTCCTCCCTCTCTCCCCCTCTCTCCCCCTCTCTCCCCCCTATCTCCCCTCTCTTCCATGTCTGCCCTCTCTCATCTCCCCCCTCTCCCATTCCTGCTCTCACCTCCCTCCAGCGCACACTCCCCTCTATCATTCTCTATACCCCCCTATCTCTCCTCTTCCATCTCACCCCTCTCGATCTCCCTTCTCGCGATTACACTCTCCCCTTCTCTCCCTGTCCTCTCTCCCTGCCCCTCTCCTGCACTCTCCTCCCCTCTCTCTCCCCCCCCCACACCCTCTCTCTCGTCCCTCTCTTGTACTGTCGCAGCGTCACTGACGGGCATCATCTTCCCGGACCCGATCGTGCTGCGCGTGGGCTCCCCGCTGTCCGCGCACTGCCTGCTCCTCTTCGCCACGCCACGGCCCTCGGACGCGGACGCCGAGCCCTGCACCTCGTCCCACCTCCACTGGAGCCTCAACGGCACGCGGCTCCCCGGCGCGGCGCACCGCACGCTCAACGCCACCGCGAGCGAGCTGCTCGTCAACACGTCGGGGCCGGCGAGCGCGCTCCTGTTCCCCGGGAAGACCGTGCTCACGTGCACCATGGACTGCCCCTTCCATGGGCTGCAGACGCTCTACGGGGTCGAGGTGCACGCCGGATGTGAGCGCCTCGCAGATCGTCGCGCGCTCGGGAGGGCTGCGTCCACGCTGGCGTGTCGGAGAGTACACCCATCGCAGCATTTACAGTTCGAGTACGACGTTTGAGCTGTCAATTGAAACCGGCCTCATTGGGGCGGCGGCCAGAATTAGCATGTTTTATTTACGTGACAAACCTTGCTAACCGCCTCTATTGGGAATAATATTGGTCGCAAAAGCCTTCGTGTGAAACTGTGTCCACTCTGTCTCTCTCTCACTCTGGTGGGCACCTCTCTGTTAACCGATTGTGGAAAGTGGCCGTGGTGCATGTGCGGATTGGCTTGTTTTGTTTATCTACCTGTGCCCCGCTGTGTCTATAGGTGTGTAAATTAGTCCATCCCGTGGTCAGATCGCCGGCAGTGAATCGTTAGATCCTCGGAAGCTAAGCAGGTTTGAGGTTGTATTGCTTGTGGGTGGTCGACTGCCAATGCATTGCAAAACCGGTGATGCCGGCAGCAAATTTTGCATCAATTTTCGTCGCTGTAACGCATCATGCTTGCGACGTCTACGCTTCTCCCACCCACTAACTAGCATGGTGAGATATGGTGAAGTTAACCCCCCTGGCGACCTACACCGTGAAGGGAGGCCCTCGTCCAGCAGTGCACTGAGGGCCGTAGTTACCGATCACCAAAGTAATATGTGCACAAGACTTAACAAAGTGTGATGGATGTTTTAGGTTAGCCTGTACATATCAATTGTTCATCCCCGTGTCCTCACGTGCCTTGGTGTTTTTGTGTCCTCACGTGACCCCCGTATCCTTGCGCGTGTGTCCCCGCGGTGCTGGCCAGACCCCCCATGGGCGCCCCGGGCCCCGTACTGCGAGTCGGCCGGAGTGAACGGGAACATGAGCTGCACGTGGGAGCCTGGGGGGACGACGTTCCTGAGCACGAACCACATACTGCAGTACCGCGAGCACGGGTACCTCCCTCACCGTCACGCTCCGCATGTTCCAGCCACTGCTGGATGAAGGCCTCTTCACACCGTGGCCACCGCTCACAGGCTAAGCATGATTCCTCGCTTCTGTTCTGAGATTATCTCGTCGATCCGTCTCTTAATTTTGGTCAATCTCTTGGGTGAGTTTCCCTCCTTTGGCTGTCTGGACCGCCTGCCATCATGTGTCCTGCGCACTTCAATTTCCTTCTTTCAAAAGTCTTTAGTTTTACCACAATTTGGTGCCATCGGCGTTACATCGCGAGACGGATAATCCATTTGGATCTGCCGTGGACGAGAGCAGCCCTGCATGATAGAGAGCGGCCGGCATCAACGGATACCAAAGAACTACATCTTATATCCGTTAAAGTGACCTGATGATGATAATGCTGAGTGCTGCTGATCATGATGCTGCTGCTGAGAACGATGCTTTTGTTGATGCTGCCGTTGCTTATGCTGATGATGGCGATGTTGGGTATAATGATAGCGGTGGTGATAATGACGACGGCGACGATGATGATATTAGTGATCGATGATGATGATGATGGAGGTGAGAATAATGGCGATGCTTTTGAAGATCATGCTGCTGCTACTGCTGGTGGTGATGATGATGGTTATAATAACGATTATGATGATGATGGTGGTCGTCGTGGTGGTGGTGGTGGTGGTGGATGTGAGTGTAGCCGAGGGGTGTGGTTTGCACTCCAGGCTGGAGAGGCCCTGGACTGACTGCGTTTCGCTGCAAGACACTGCCGCTTCTGCTGTAGCTTCTGCTACCTCGACGTCGTGCACGCTTCCCCGCGAGAAGCTGCTTCTCGGAAGGCACTACGACCTCCGTGTAATCGCCCACAATGCACTTGGGCGTGCCGAGTCCGCCGTGATCACCACGTCTCGTCGGCAAACAGGTTGAGTGCACCGGCACGCATGCACATGCACACGCGCGCACGCATGCACAACAACAACCGCCATTCGCCTCTAAGTGGCGGTGACATCACCACGACGCTTGTGCCAGGCCATGTGCACCTTGAGGCCACATGAAGTGTCGAACGCCCGCTGGCAGGAGGTCACGGGGCAGACCCAGTTGCCACGGGTCGACTGACCGAGATGACCGAGATGACTGGCTGATGCACCACCTGTGCCCCCTACTGTACCAACGCATGCACACACGCATGCACACACGCGCACACACGCACACACACGCACACGCACGCACGCACACACACATAAAATGCAACACCGGCTTACAAGTGGGTATTTGTCCATCAGTAGAGGGTGGTGTGGCTTTTAGGTTTTTCCTGTTAACTGCATCACCCTGTGTGTGTGACCCAGGTGCGGGTTTGATCCTGGATGTATATGTGCATGTGACCCTGTGTGTGTGGTGTGGGGAGAGGTCGTGTAGCGGTTAGTGCGCTGCGCTACAAACCCGGCGACCCGAGTTTGATTCCCGCTCATGGCCAGCACCTGGTGCGGTGTGTAAACATTGCAACTTGGGAGACAAAGGCAGCTGGGCGTGGTGCTGGCCATCCACCCCCTCTTGTATCGTGGCAGCCTTCACAGGTGCTCGCTAACAGCACTTGCCCCAACAGTCTGTTAAGACTATACGTGGGATCTTTGCCTTCGTGGTGGGACCCAAGTCTGTACGGTGATAGACCCCATTGTGTCCCTGGTGTGGGTTAAACGGCAGTGTGTTTGCTGCGGCCCCGTGTGTGTGTGTATGTGTGGGGTGACACTGGTGTGCTGTGCGTGTGGCGTGAGCAGTGAAGACGGACACCCCAGTGTGGGAGAAGCCCATTCTGACGGAGGGCCTGGCGGAGGAGGTCACGCTGCGCTGGAGCCCGCCGCCCAACGCCAACTACGAGCACTACTTCCCGCTGCAGTACGAGCTGTCCGTGACCAGCCACGCCGACGGCACCACCACCAAGGTGCGCTCGCAAACTGCCACGCAAATCAGCAAAAACTCACAGACACTCTTTAAAACTCACCAGGACTCTGCGAAACCCACCGAGCACTCGCCAACATTCACCAGCACTCACCAAATACTCTTCAACAACGGCATGACCCGTGTGACCCTGGATTTACCCCCCCCCCCCACCTTCCGTGCCATCTCCAGTACTCGAACATCCATACAAACTCGCGCACCCACTCGCTGTTCTCCCTACGCCCGTACTCGAGCTACACGGCTCGCCTGCGCTGCACCTTCGAGTCCGGCGCCGTGGCTGGCAAGGCGAGGGGCCGGGCCGCTCCCCCGCCCGTGTGGAGCGAGTGGAGCAAGCAGCTCAACTTCACCACCCCCGAGGCTGGTACGAGACGCAGGGACACGCGTGGACACACGGCAGAGGTCGAAAACGGTGACTCACGGCCTAACCGTACCCGTACTCGGCCGCACCAGGGTCGCAAACGGGTACCCATACCCGGCCGGGTACGGGTACCCGGGTATCGGGTACGGGTACCCGGGTATCGGGTAGGGTACGGATATCGGGTACCCGGTTGCGACCTCTGACACACGGGGACTACACAGGGACGATAGGCCACAGAGGAAAAGTGGCATGGTGAGGACACAGGGGCACAGAGACACATTCAAGGGATCTTTGTTTTTCTTATGCTTTTCAAATAAGGTCGAAGGCGATCATGCATTAGGTCTGTCTGTCTGCCTTTCTGTGAAAGGGGTGCGGGGGTGGAGGGGGGTCACAATAACTCTTGAAAAGCTGATCCAATATTAATTAAATTTTAGCATGAAGTTTTGTTGCTTTCCAGGATTTACCGTATTAAACAGTAGCTATGTTCACCGAAGGGTTGCTCAAAACTAGCAGATGCAGACCTGCGCTTAAAGGACTATTTGGAAATATGCAAATATATTTTACCTTGACAGCCAGGCTTCCGTGACGCCGAACGCATGTTGGAAAGCGCCGTAGAATCCATTCGCATGCACGATTTGTTTCCTTTTTCTATTTGTGTGTGTTGACGTGTGTCTCTCAGCACCTCTTGTAGCCCCAGAGCTGTGGAGGATCCCTGGTGAACCAGACAAAATGGGGAACCAAGTGACGACTCTGGTTTGGAAGGTACGGAGTTCCCCCTGTTGTCTCCTAAGGGATTCATGATACACGTACGTTGAACTTCTTTCGCGCTGTACGTAGCCAACCGTGCTAATCGGAGGTGCGGATCACCGTGTCAGAGACGCTGGGGTCGGTATTGCTTAAGGCTTGTGTTGCACACTCGAAATGAAGGACGTGGGCAGGTGCTCCAAATCGAGGGCAAGCACATTGATTGTGGTTAATAGCAATCTTGTGAAGAACAGCACCGTCACTCTGTCAAATGCAACAGCACATGTCACGAACAGCATCCCTTCCGAGTCGCCATTAACCATGTGGCTGGTTTACACGTGCGGTTATTCATTAACCCTGCCAGCCACCTACAGGCCCAACTCAGTCATCACATGCTGCTGTACACACGTGCTGCTGTACACACATGCTGCTGTACACACATGCTGCTGTACACACATGCTGCTGTACACACATGCGTTGATGCACTGCACAGCACATCAGGACCTTCACAGAACCACACTTTACTCCCTTGCTGCTGCACAAGGATATAATTAAAAGAGTGATCCATTCCTAATGTGCCACACTTGGGTTCCAGAACTGGGGGTTGGGTGTCTCTCGCTCTCTGTCTCGGGGGGGGGGGGGGGGGGGGATTCAAATTGGCTAAGCCCAGGCAGTGAGGCAATGACCTCAGATGACCTATGTTCATGCCCTGGGCTGGGTGCCTAAATGCATCGTTCTCTTAAGGGTTCATAATGGTCGTGTTAGAGACACTAATTTAACCATTTGAAATCACGACGATTCTCGGAGGGGCAGTGCCCGTGGGTAGGTCGGGGTGGGGGTAGGGGTGGTGATATCTCTACCCCTATGACGTTAAAGAACGTCGTCACGCTGGGAGATCTGATTACCTGTGTCGTCGATCACACGAGCGGTTCGGTTGCTCGACCAATCGGATTTCACAGAATGAGTTCCCACGTGTGCCGCTGGACGGGAGGGCGATGGTCGTGCTTTGGTGATGTCTTTGGCATCAGCCGTGCTGACTTGTCAGGGGGTTCCTTCCTTCGCGACGGCCGCATATAAAGGGACCCGTGTAATGGACCACAAGGAGAGAAGTCGATTACCGCTTCCCGTCGATTAATCGACTTAACCGATTGGTAATCGATTATTTGACATGGGACCCGTGTAATGGACCACAAGGAGAGAAGTCGATTACCGCTTCCCGTCGATTAATCGACTTAACCGATTGGTAATCGATTATTTGACATGGGACCCGTGTAATGGACCACAAGGAGAGAAGTCGATTACCGCTTCCCGTCGATTAATCGACTTAACCGATTGGTAATCGATTATTTGACATGGGACCCGTGTAATGGACCATAATGAGAGAAGTCGATTACCACTTCCCGTCGATTAATCGACTTAACCGATTGGTAATCGATTATTTGACATGAGTGATTAATTATCAATTAATCGACTTAATCAATTACTAAATGATTAATAGACGTAACCATTTACTAACCGATTATTCGACTTAACTGACTACGAATCGATGCATTGGCTTAACCGATTACTAATCGATCAATCGACTGAGCTGGCTACTAATAGATCAATCGACTTAACCGAGTACTAATAGATTAATAGACTTCACGAGATTTACAATCGATGAATCGACTTCACCGATGACATTTACTTAACCGATTGCTAATCGCCCCCCTGCTCTACAAGCACGTGCACACACAGCCAGGCGCTCTTAGCAAGTGTCTCTTGTACGTACGTTGAACTTCCTTCGCACCATACGTAGCCAACTGTGCGAATCGGAGAGTGTGAGCGGCTGACGAGTAACTCCCCCACTCCGCCCTCCTGCTCCCCCCGTGTCTTCCACGTCGCTGGGCCCTTGTCGTCGTCGTCGTTGTCCCAGGCACTGGACAAGTCACTGGCACGAGGGGAGATACTCGAGTACCGCCTCGCCTGCTCCCACACCTCCAAGAAGCGGCACGGTAACTAACGGCTCGTAATGGCCGGCTCGACACACACACACGCCCGGGTGGCACTGCTGCTATCCTGGGGTTTAGAACTTTAGCGTCTGGGACGCTGTAAGGAGGTTCATGATGGCCGAGGCGCTGCTGAGAGCGTGCGTGCGTGCGTCTGCAATTGTGGGGGCGCGATAGTGCAGTGGTTATTGTACTGTGCTGCAAACCCGGCAACCCGAGTTCGATTCCCACTCGCAGCCAACAGCAGTAGCGGATATCTGGGCCTTCCCTAAGTGGCCTTAAATATGTAGCTGGTGCGGTGTGTCAACGTCAGCTCTGGAGAGACAAAGGTGGCCGGGCGTGGTAGTGTTCACATTTCTTCTTGTGTGCCATGCCAGATTTAATAGGTGCCCCCAGCAGTGTGCTATATGGGGGATCTCTGTAATTGTGCGTGTTTATGTCATTCTGTGTGTGTAATTATATGTACGTGTGTGTAATTGTGTGTGTAAGTATCAATATGTGTAATTGTGTGTCTGCGTGTATGTAATGGTATGTCTGTGTTGTGTAATTATGTATAATAGTGTGTGTGTAATTGTGTGTAAGTCTATATATATATGTATCCCTCTGATGAGGAAATACGAAAAGCAATCCAGAGCCTGAGACCAGGCATAGCGGTGGGCAGAGATGACCTTCGAAGCGAACAGCTTAGGGAGGGTGGCGATTGTGTGCATGCTGCCCTATATGACGATTTAAACCGTCTGGACCACAGGACGGGTCCCGCAGGATTGTAATGATGTCGTGGTGGAAATGCCACGGTGTAGATCCTTTTAAGAAATGGGACTGCACTGATTGCAATAACTACCAGGGCATTTTCATCCTCAGTGTGCCAGAAAAGGTGCTGGCAAGGATTGATCAACATTGCCGTGCCAGGCATGCTGAGGAGAAGCTTGCCGCACAGATGCCATACCCTCTGTCCGTCTGCTACAGCAGATGTTTAGGGAATTTCACCAGGATCTACATCCCATGTTTGGCTGGATATTGAGGGCTAACTGGCCAGGACACGGGCAAGAGAAGAGGTGGGATATTGTGGTACGGAGGATGTGGAGCTGATTGGACTTGCTGATGACTGGTACCAGCGATGTCAAGATGGGCAGATGGAGACAGTCACCGTCTGATAACACCAGGAGGGCGGAGGAATCTCAATGAGCGGAGCCTCGGGCGGCTAACACGCAGCTATTTGACACAGTGGGGAGCACAGCTCGTGTGCCTGTGAGTCATATCAGTCGGTCATTTCACAACGCCTGGGTCTGTCCTGTGACTTCTTGCCGACGAGCCTTGGACACTTCAACGAGACAGCCTCAACATGCGCCTAGCGTAGCGCGAGTGCCGTGGTGATGTCAACGCCACTTCTTATTGGTGAAGGACGACCGTCGTTTTGGAGTACGTGTGTGTGAGTAATGCGTGTGTCTGTTTCACAGGAGGCTGTGAGGGTGCAGGAAAATTGCACCAAGAAGCAGATGAGCATGGAGAAGGAGGTGAAGATGATGGAGGTAGTGGTGGTGACAGCGGCAGAAGCGTGGTTGCCTTGGGCCTTGCTGGTGCAAGGAATGAAACATTGCCCCCTGCCCAATGTCTCCCTCCTTTATGTCCCAGCACCTGGCCCAGCCAGCGCACGGGCCCCTGTAGCAGTAGCGTAGTCGCTGGGTTGGTGATCATTTTTGACGTGAACGTACGTACCGGCAAGAGGCGCAACACGCACAACAATGAGCGGGGTGCCGGGCGGATAAAATGCGGCGGCAGTAGGCGCTGTGGGGAAGCACGCGGTGGTGGTGGTGGTGGTGGTCCACCTGTCGGTGATCTTCGTCATTTTTAACCCATCACACTTGGCTCCGTCCCGGGAGTGACTTCCTGCAAACAAAAACCTACACTGATAGTATATGCATTGACAATGCATATATTTGACATTGCATATACTATCAGAGTATGTTTTGTTGGCATTCTGACCACAAGTATTGTGGTTAATGCAGACATGATTCCTTGTAAAAGGTTTCAGTTTGGTGTTTTATTGCCAGGATAAAAGGGGGAAAACCTAGTCTCATATATTGGTACTGGCAAAGTAGGTCCCCTGATGTAGTGAAGATCGTTGTTTTATGTGCATTGTCTGGCCGTATCTCCCCGCGTGTCTCTGTATCGTCTAATTCCCCATGTCCCCCGCCCCCCCCCCACCGCTCGCGTGCATCTCCGTTCTTCCCCTCCCCGAGGCCACGAGTGCTCGGGCTCCCTGCGGCGCCTCGATGCGACGAGACGCTCGCTGACCGTGCGCACCCCGGCATCGGCACCTGTCGTCGCCTCGCCCACGGGGAGGTCGAGGGTCACAGTGGCGGGCGCACTCGTCTGGCTCTGGGTCTGCAACAGCGCGGGGGCCTCGCCCGTCGCACACATCCGCATCGCCACGAGGAAGCCACAACGAGGTGAGCGCTCGGGAGGTGGCCGTGAGCGTCGTGGTGGTGGTGGTGGTGGTGGCGGTGGTGGTGGTGTTGGTGGTGGCGGTGGTGGCGGTGGTGGTGGTGGTGGTGTGGTGGTGGCGGTGGTGTCGTGGTGGTGTGGTGGTGGTGGTGGTGTGGTGGTGGTGGCGGTGGTGGTGGTGGCGGTGGTGTTGGTGGTGTGGTGGTGTGGTGGTGGTGGCGGTGGCGGCGGTGGCGGCGGTGGCGGCGGCGGCGGTGGTGGCGGTGGTGGCGGTGGTGGCGGCGGTGGTGGTGGTGGTGGTTGCGACGATGGTAGTGTAGCGGTTAGCATGCTGCTGCGACGAAACGAGCAACACTAGTGAGGACTTTCTGAATCGGTCCTGGGCCTCTTCTATGTTGACTCAGCCTCAAATGAGTACCTGGTGCGCTGTGTAGTAAACATCGCGACTGGAGAGACAAAGGCAGCCGGGGCGTGGTGCTGGCCACCCACCCTCTCGCGTGCCGTGCCGGCCTTAATAGGCGCTCGCTAAAAGCACTTGCCCCAACAGTCTGTTATGGTTACACATCGTTAATGGGTGAGTCCACCAACACAGACTGAAATCGGTGACCCCACCACAGCTTCTATCCTCCATGGAAACAATGGGCAGCGCTTAACCGGATGGGCACGAAGCACGCGAGACGCAGTGTCCACCTGATGCTCTAGTGGAGAATCAGAGACTCGCTCTCCTGTGCGCAGCTGTGGCTACTTGCTCCACACCAGGGACCACGTTACTTGGACACTGCCACAAATATACATTTGAAGGTGGTCGGTGAGTGATTTTGTGGGTGGGTGTATCTGAAATTCACAAACTCTCAGATGAAGTAATCGAATGGCCCAATTACTCAGAACTCTTCATCGGCCGTATGAGCCCATGACCCTCATCATGATTGTAGTGGTGGTTATGAGGATGAAGGAGGTTGTCGTGGTGTTGACGGTAATGGTGACGGTGGGTTTCAGGTTGTGGTGGTGATGTTTGTATTGGTGGTGGTGGCAGTGATTACGGCAATGGTTGTGGTGTTGGTTAAAATACATCTTCATTATTTAAATACTTTTAATGTGAACATGAAGAGAACACGGCCCAGGGAGGGAGGGAGAGAGAGAGGTTGCAGTGGTAGGAGACAAAAAAGGAGCGGTGCTGGGCCATTCCTAGAACAGCCCCAACGCTGGCTCAGCTCCGGCTTCCAACGGTCGTGGAAACGCAGCGTTGGACCCTGTCCCCATGTGGAACCCTTGCCCCCCCCCTTCCCCCCCCTCACCCCCCCTCGCCCCCCCCCTTCCCCCTTCCCCCCCCCATCTGCTCATCAGGACCCCTCAGGGAATCGCTGACCCTAGACGTGCGGAGCGGAGGGGACACACGGCTCGACGCCAAGTGGCGGTGGTTGCCGCCGCCGCCTCTGAAGCCCTCGGGCTGGGCGCTGCAGGTTTGCCGCCGGTGCGAGGAGGAGGAGGCCTGCTCGGAGCCGCGCTGGTGGAGGCTGCCAGCCGAGGCCCGCTCCGCACCAATCGGTGAGCGCCTATTAAAATCGCACACGCAACACTGACAGACAGAGAGGTTGGAGCGGGCGCACGCGGTGGGTGGTTCTTTTGCATGGGCTGGGCGTTTGGGCCAGGCAGAGCAGGTAAGGGGGGGGGGGGCTCCGGCTGAAACGTGGCGCTGCATTGTTGTACACGACAAGCAGTGCCGGCTCGTAGCCGGGCTTTTGTCGTGGGGAGGTCCACCTGCAGCACACGTGTGTCTCGCGTGCCGTGTATCTCGTGTGCCGTGTGTCGCTCATGTCTAACATGTCCCGTGTGTCCCGCGTCCCGTGTGTCCCGTGCCAGACTCGGTGGTGCGTGGCCGGTGCTATGCCGTTTCCGTTTTTCCCATCATGGCGGATGCCTCGGTGGGGGCGGCCGTGTACAAGCGGGCCTACTCGGCCGAGGAGGGTGAGCCCTGGACGGTGTGCATGTGCAGTGCACAGAACCGTACACACACTGACACACACACACACCGTACACACACACACCTGACACACACCCACACCGTGCACACACACACTGACACACACACACACTGACAAGGCAAAGATAAAGACAAAGATCCCCCGTATAGCCTTAACAGACTGTAGGGGCAAGTGCTGTTAGCGAGCACCTATGAAGGCCGGCACGGTACACGAGGGGGTGGGTGGCCAGCACCACGCCCGACCGCCTTTGTCTCCCGAGCGGCGATGTTTACACACCGCACCAGGTACTCATTTGAGGCTGAGTCGACCTAGGAGAGGCCCAGGACCGGTTCAGATAATCGTCACTGGTGTTCGCCGTGAGTGGAAATGGAACCCGGGTCACCAGGTTCGTAGTGCAGTGCGCTAACCGCTACACTACCGCTCCGCTAAGTCAGTGCTGTGTTAATGCTGATTCAGGGCTGTGTCAGTGCTGTGCTAATGCTGTGTCGTGCCTGTGTCAGCCCCGTCTGCTGGCCCGAGTGGGATACACGTGCGACAAAGGAAGACCTCAGCCATGGTGTCGTGGAATCCACTTCAGCTTGCGGACCAGCGAGGGATTCTTCTCGACTACAGCATCAACGTCAATAGCATCAGCAACAAGCTTAGGAGTACGACCCAGGCAGCTTCACACATCAGCCTCAACTCTGACCCCTAACCCTCAACATATCAGCCTCAACTCTGACCCCTAACCCTCAACATATCAGCTTCAACTCTGACCTCTAACCCTCAACATATCAGCTTCAACTCTGACCTGTAACCCTCAACATATCAGCTTCAACTCTGACCTCTAACCCTCAACACATCAGCCTCAACTCTGACCCGTAACTCTCAACATATCAGCTTCAACTCTGACCTGTAACCCTCAACATATCAGCTTCAACTCTGACCTGTAACCCTCAACATATCAGCTTCAACTCTGACCTGTAACCCTCAACACATCAGCTTCAACTCTGACCCCTAACCCTCAACATATCAGCTTCAACTCTGACCCGTAACCCTCAACACATCAGCTTCAACTCTGACCTCTAATCCTCAATACTCAAACCTCAACTGGGACCCCTAACCCTCAACGCTAACCCCAATCCCTCAACACCAGCCTCAACCCCAACCCTAACCCTAAACCCTTGACACACCAGCCTTAACTTGATGCCCACTCACGGCCACCACCAGTGACGATTACCTGAACCGGTTCTGGGCCTTCCCCAGGTTGACTCAGCCTCAAATGACTACTTGGTGCTGTGTGTAAACATTGCCACTGGGAAAACAAATGCGGCGAGGCGTGGTGCTGGTGGCCCACCACTTTGTGTGTCTTGCCCGCCTTCATAGGTGCCTCGCTAAGAGCACTTGCCCCAGCAGTTTATTAAGGCTATATGGGGGATCTTTGTTTGTGTGTGTGTGTGCTCAGCGCTGTTTGTGAGTTGGAACGAGAGCGAGGTGCTGCTGCTGGATCTCACACCGAGTTCCATGTACACGGTGAGCGTGTGTGCACGCAACGCCGCTGGGCGCGGGCCACGCAGCACGGAGTACACCTTCAGCACACTCGCATACGGTGAGACTCGCAATCACACACGTATACAAATACACGCACACATACACGCAGTACACCTCCAGCACACTCGCATACGGTGAGACTCGCATATACACACGTATACAAGTACACGCACACATACACGCAGTGCACCTTCAGCACACTCGCATACGGTGAGACTCGCATACAAGTACACGCACACATACACGCAGTACACCTTCAGCACACTCGCATACGGTGAGACTCGCATATACACACGCATACAAGTACACGCACACATACACGCAGTATACCTCCAGCACACTCGCATACGGTGAGACTCGCATATACACACGCATACAAGTACACGCACACATACACGCAGTACACCTCCAGCACACTCGCATACGGTGAGACTCGCATATACACACGTATACAAGTACACGCACACATACACGCAGTGCACCTTCAGCACACTCGCATACGGTGAGACTCGCATATACACTCGTATACAAGTACACGCACACATACACGCAGTACACCTTCAGCACACTCGCATACGGTGAGACTCGCATATACACACGCATACAAGTACACGCACACATACACGCAGTATACCTCCAGCACACTCGCATACGGTGAGACTCGCATATACACACGCATACAAGTACACGCACACATACACGCAGTACACCTCCAGCACACTCGCATACGGTGAGACTCGCATATACACACGTATACAAGTACACGCACACATACACGCAGTACACCTCCAGCACACTCGCATACGGTGAGACTCGCATATATACACGTATATACAAGTACACGCACACATACACGCAGTACACCTTCAGCACACTCGCATACGGTGAGACTCGCAATCACACACGCATACAAGTACACGCACACATACACGCAGTACACCTTCAACACAATCACATACACATACATAAAGGCAAAGAACCCCCGTATAGACTTTTGGGGAAAGTGTTGTTAGCTAGCACCTATGAATGCCATACGCACACATACGTACACACACACATACTTACACCGGGTATAGGTCCAGCACTCTGGCGTACGCTGAGACTCGCGTACACGCACACACCGCCAGCGTCCCCCAAGTGTTGACTCCACGCTGTGATGATCCCGTGTTGACTCCACGCTGTGATGATTCCCAACCTGCGCAGACGTGGGGGAGCTGGAAGCCATCGTGGTGTCGGCAAGTCTCCTGGGCCTCTTCTTCCTCGTGGTCATCATGCTGGTGTGGAGCAAAGTGCAGGGCAGGTGCGACCCCAACTACCACGGCCCTCACCCCGAACCTATAGCACTCACCCTGAACCTATAGCACTCACCCCGACCCTATAACACTCACCCTGAACCTATAGCACTCACCCTGACCTTATAGCACTCACCCTGACCCTATAGCACTCACCCCGAACCTATAGCACTCACCCTGACCCTATAACACTCACCCTGACCCTATAACACTCACCCTGACCCTATAGCACTCACCCTGACCCTATAACACTCACCCTGACCCTATAACACTCACCCTGACCCTATAGCACTCACCCCGACCCTATAACACTCACCCTGAACCTATAGCACTCACCCTGACCCTATAGCACTCACCCTGACCCTATAGCACTCACCCCGAACCTATAGCACTCACCCTGACCCTATAACACTCACCCTGACCCTATAACACTCACCCTGATCCTATAGCACTCACCCTGACCCTATAACACTCACCCTGACCCTATAACACTCACCCTGACCCTATAACACTCACCCTAGCCATGACACTCACCCTGACCCTATAACACTAACCCTGACTCTATAACACTCACCCTGACCCTATAACACTCACCCTGACCCTATAACACTCACCCTATAACATTCACCGTGAATCTATAACACTCACCCTGACCCTATAACACTTACCCTGAACCTATAACACTCACCCTGACCCTATAACATTCACCCTGAATCTATAACACTCACCCTGACCCTATAACACTTACCCTGAACCTATAACACTCACCCTGACCCTATAACACTCACCCCGACCCTATAACACTCACCTTAGCCCTAACACTCAACCTCGTCATGACCTCACTCGGACACCAGGCCTCACCCTAGCCATGACCCTTGCCCTGACCCGAGTTAGACTAAACTAAGACTCCACAACAGAGGTTTTTGGGTGAGATCACGTAAATATAAAAGTGTCGTTGAACCCGCCACCACCTGACACAGCCAATTAGTAAGGTTCGTCCCGTAAACAAAACATGCTACACCGGTGTGTTGGAGAGGAAATCCACAACAGTTACAATTCGAGAACGACGTTTTGCCGGTTAATTACAACCGGCATCATCAGGAGACAGTCAAAAACCTCCTATGGATAGTAATAATAGTAGAAGTTTTTAGGCAAAAGCCTACGTGTTAAGCTAAACTAAAACTATTTGTTATTTTACCAGGTAAGACACACTGAGCTATATTGCTGTTTTTCAGAAGCGACCTGGCCACAAATGATAGCCCAATTAAATGGATTATCATGTGGAAATGTATAGCAGGCAAGTACTCTAAACACATGTTTGTAAATGTGGAAGGAAAAGCTGGATGCTAATGCTCAGCCCCAACGATAACCTTGCTCCTAATACAAACCCTAACACTAACGTTTATTCTTAACGGTAAACTTAAAATACAGTACATTTCCTATCCAGTCTCATACTCTCACACTCACACAAGATCCAGGTCTAGATCTATCTCTCACAGCTCGCCCTAACACATGGCCCCTTAACTCTCCTCGTGTCAGGTTCAAGGAGATATGCTGGCCTAATGTCGCGTCGCCCAAAGAAAGCAAGGCCCTCAAAGGCCTGGTCTTCAACAAGGTACCCAAGATCTCTCTTCCGCACAGCGTCACTCGTGAGGAATCCGCGTGGTGTGCTCTCGTTTACGCCGGAGCGAAGAGAGCGCGAGGGGCCACTCGGGACGTTGGGCACGAGGCCCACGTCCCTGGGCCCGTTCATCTGGCCCCACGACAATTCCTCCTGGGTGTGACTTTAGGAAATTGGCGTAGGCTTTTATTCGCCTTCTCGGCCCTGATTAAACCACCAATAAAAGCAAGATTGTGGCTGAACTATGACTCAGGAAGTTCATAAAAAAACTCAGAGGTTCATAATACTTAATTTTATGTAGCATCATTCATGCTAATAGCATTCCATAACGCTGTACAGTAATTATATATAAGGACCATATCCTATATACAGCCACTATCAAGCGAATGAAAACTCTACTACCAAGCAAAATCTCAAACGAATAAACGAATTAAGAAATGGAACCAAAAGAAAAAGCACAACAACAACAAAAAGTTATCGCAAGGTCGCTACTTTGAACTAATGTTACTGTAAACCTTTGGTTCAGAAGGCCCAATGGTCGATGGACTTAAGTGTTACTTGGGTAATCAAACTAATGGATTACCTGTTTCTAAAAGAAAGTTTTGTTTCACAGCCAATGACGTGTGAAACATATTGGCTTGTTCTTCATAGCTAAATCTGTCCAAGTTATAAGCATAATAATAAAATATATGCATAACAAGTTCATTAGTCACCTGTTATGTGAATCATGCAAATCTGTTTCTTCACAGACACCACAGTTTTCTCCGACTTAGATCTGTTTAACACATTTTTGTTCTGAACAAGTTTAGGGAAATTTTCTAAACACGTTTTGATGTCATGGCAAGTGACCTCACAGCTAACCATGTACAGTATATACATAACAATAGATGAGCACAGAATAAATGATAATTTGAGCAGGAAATTGTCTTGAAAATGGCCAAAATGTTCGTCTGAAATTTGTGCAAATTATCTTGACTATGACGCCCCCATTCCTCCCCCATTCCTCCCCGTCAGCAGACGAGTTCAGAGCCCATCAGCCCTGTGAGCCAGAATTCCTGGATCTGTGATGCCGAACCAAACGTCATTCAGACGGAAGAGGAGTTTCCTCTCAACTTCGAGGAGCCCAGAGACAAGTGTCCCCCTGAGCAGACCTCCCTCCCCACACCTCACGGCAACAGCAACGGCGGTAGCAGCGGCGGCGGCGGCAGAGGCAGGGGCAGTGGCGGTGGCGACGATGAACCGTACTCGTCCATATCCCTCGTTGACCACGGCACCAAATCGACATCTCCAGCACCGGCGGCACCGATACTGCCGCTACCGCCACCGCCGCAGTCAGTGCGGCGCTACATCAACACCGTCGCTCCCTCTTACGAAAACCTCATGGCGGGTGACGGGCAATGGCCGGCTGCACGTGAGCAACCGAGGCCCGGTGGCAGCCAGCAACGAGAAAACGAATTTGGCGGCGGTGGTGGTGGCATTATCGATGTTGGGGCCGGTTATGGTAGAAGGGGCATTTTTAGTGGCGGCGGTGATGGTTGTGTTGGTAACGGTGGAGTTGGTGTTTCTGGTAATGGCAATGATGGTGACAATGTTTTTGGCGGCGGCGGCGGTGGCGGTGGAGGTCGTCGAGACACGAGGCACGTGGAGCTGTTTGTGGATATGGAAAAAGTTTTGCTGCTCGACCCGGACACGGCAGAGAGTCCCACTGAGCCCGGCATGGTGATGAGCTACCTGCCGCAGTCGGTCAAGGACCCCGGTTACATGCCCCAGTGAGCTCCTCACCCCCCCCCCCCCTCGTATACCCCATCAACAGTTCTTGTCCCACTCTATCCCGATGGTGCTATCGGTGCCATTTCATGAGACGGAGAATCCGTTCGCAGCTTCCATAAGGGAGTGCAACCCACCCGTGTTAGAGATCAACCCTTGGAAGTGGAACTCATGGAACTACTTCTGGGATCCTTTCAAGTGCGGGTCGTGTTCCACTTGACGGATGTGTCAATAGTGTGATGGCAGTGTTTAGTTTCAATCCGCGATGCTATTCCGGAAATTATTTTGGCACGACACTTAGATCTCGCCTCACTTTGTCCTCATTTGACACATTTTGCCTTCACAGGATTATAGGAATATACGGATTAATAATTAAACGACTTATGGATGGGCATGCCGAGTATTCGAGTGGTCGTGCCTTAGACAGATAATCCCGAGTCCAAGCCAGTCTCGCAACGCTACAGAAATGCTTTTAGATCGTTTGGCTGCAACTATAAATTCGCACATACAAGTCACTTAGATGAACTATCACGCGTGGCCAGGTCGCCTCTGGACAAGGGCTGGAAGCTCGGCTGGCTTTACGTGGTGTGTAAAATAGTTGTTGTTTATAGTGGGGTGCTGGGGTGGAACCTTCACTTCAACATGTCCCTTTGGCCCCCCCCCCACCCATGTACTTCCGCCCCCACCCACGTGTACTTCCCCCCCCCTCCACCCACGTGTACTTCCCCCCCTCCCCACCCACGTGTACTTTGCCCCCCCCCCACCCACGTGTACTTCCCCCCCCCCACCCACGTGTACTTTGGCCCCCCCATCCACGTGTACTCCCCCCCCCCCACCCACGTGTACTTCCCCCCCCCCCCCCACCCACGTGTACTTTGCCCCCCGCCCCCTCCACCCACGTGTACTCTCCTCAGCAGGTCTATCACGATGTGGCCCACACAACAGGTCTACCGGAGGAGTTGGAGCCGGGCCCGGGTTAGCGGTCGTTGAACAAGGCTCCGATGACCCTTACACTGGACCATTGATTTTGTTTTTAAGGTTTTTTTTTTGCTGGCAGCTAGCAGTGTGAGCGTGCATATCTTGTAAACATTGAATATGTAATGTGAAAGAATCTTGTCTCAGGATCCGGGGAAGTGAATTATAATTGATAGAGCGCCTTTAAAGATGGTGATGCGTTGTGAAGTAAGACGATTGAATCATTCCAGGTTAAAATGGAGGGGTGCCTTGGAAATAATAATCCACGGAATCTCATTGTCCAGAAAGTGGCCTTCTCTTTATTAGGCAAATAAAATTTATTTTTTATTGAATTAATTTCATGACCTTCTGTAGGGAGATGAAACTACATTTATCTAAATGTACAAATAAAAAAACTCAACACCCATCAATTACCATGACTTAAAAAGAAAGAGGATATAATAGGTGACGTTCAAGCAAAGGCCCTTCTTCACAGCACAGAGAGCCCAGAAGAAGGCCCATTGCATGAAAAGTCACCAATGATATACTTTTACTTTCTAAAGGCCACGTTGTTATTGACAAATGCGTTGAGTTTTTTTGTTGCGTTGTTATTTGTGCTTGTGCACCACCACTGCCGACAAAGTAATTACCGAATAATGTATCTTCTCGTGGGGTTATGAGGTTTCCACCCTCCCCCCCCCCAGACACCTTCAGCTACTGCGTCGGTTGTCGCCGTTCTGCTGCGTTGCTCTCGCCGACGGGCTCTCGGATTAGGGCTGCGTGCTGTTCGCCGTCTTGTCTGAAGTTTAGAAAATTTGAGCTCTTGAAAGAAGCTCCCCCCTCCCGGTAGGAGTGTGCAGCGAAGAGTGAGACGTGACACCCAACGGCGCACGGTGGGGTAAGGAAGAAGCCTGAACCCTCATCTCGGAGATCGGCGCTCCTCAAGCGATGCAGGTCCGGTAGCCGTGGACCGAGGGGACGTCCGTCTCGGTCTGTCCGCGACGGCAACGCCAACCTCGCCAATGTCATATTCTTAGGCTTTTTCGGTAAAGTCACGTAGGTAAAAAATTTAAATTAATAAAATAAAATAAAAATCACGACGTTTCGGAGGCAACACAAGCTTCCGTCTTCAGGTGGAACCGTCACAGCACAATAGCTGTATCAAGTAAATGTCCCCAACAACGATTTCGATCAAAATTCGATTAGGTGAATGACATTTACGGTCAGGAGCAATTTAATTATGTAGTGAATCCACCTGAGTCACAGACGTTGGTCTTGGAGCAACACGTTTTATTCAACTCTTAGCACCACCTACTCCAGGCTATTAAACACAACATACTCCAGGCTATTAACACAACATACTCCAGGCTATTAAACACAACATACTCCAGGCTATTAACACCACATACTCCAGGCTATTTAGCACAACACTCTCTCCGGTGGTGACCACCCAACTAACCACGCTACGGCGGAACTAGACACGGTTCCGCTATCCTGGTCCGGACCACAAGCTGGGTCCCGGACCGCGTGGCTGGAGGCTTCTTCAAGCTTGACGTGGATCTCCTGCCTCTCCAGCAGTAAGAACCCCGAGCCCCTCCTTATGTCGGGCCGGGCTGGGGATAGCTCCGCCTCTCGCCCCGCCCACCTTCTAGATCTCTCTCGCCCCCTTGCCCGAAGGCTCTCGAGAGTTCTTCTTGGACCATGTGACCACCCATTGGCCCCCTCCACCGGTGGTCCCACTCCAGTATCGTCCAGTCACGTGTCCCCAGGTCAGCCAGAGTATCATGCCCCCAACGTAACCCCGGCTGGCTGACGCTCTCTCGCTCTCTCAACGGGAGCCCGCTCCGCACGCTGTGCGTGGTGCCACGGCGCTCACCCAGCGCTCACCCAGCCCCCTCTAGGACTGGTACCACACCACGTGTCCGGAGTGTACCCACAAGAGTAGACATCCCGCCGCGGCCGTCTCAGGCCCCCCGGCACCACACAGTGACATTCCCAGTCGCTACAATTACATCGCTGAAGTCTATCTAAGCAATGTTCCTTTCGGTGTCGCCACGCCTAAATGTGTGTTCGTCCATCAGCTGATGGGCATTCCAGGCCAATATTATGCAGCAGCGTCTGTTAAAGCGAGCTAACCAAAGTCTCGCTGCCAACGTTTCCATTCGTCGTTGCAGTGACGTCACTGGAGGTCTCTTGGCCGCAACGTGAAATGCTTTTTTTCTGATTTTGGTGAGGACTCTCGGTTTAATGTTGATCGGGCCTTTAATGTTCTGACGCTGCTTTGTTGTCACCTCGGAAGTTGAAGAACTTGGTTCATGGCTGTTGTGAGACTGACCGATCAGTGGAAATATCCTGTGAGCTAATGGGTCAGTCTGGCTCTGTACGCACCACGTGTGAGTTTGCATGCGTAGAAGCTTACGGACACGTAGAATAATGCACAGAACCACACAAGACATTCACCTCCACATGCATAGAGACACAGATTCACACATATACACAGAGACACATTAATGCGCACACAGGCACACTAAGCCACTTTCACACACACATTCATACACATGGAGATACACAGAAGCTCACACATAGGCAAAGACATACATGCAGAAGAAACTTAATTACACACAAAGATGTACACATCGAGAAACAGGCACACATTCACACATAATAATTAGTCACGCACGTAAAAGCACACAGACATACGCACACAGCTAACAAGACACACAGATACACACAAGCAGAGATCGAACTCAAATGTAGAGGGAAAAACAAGCTTAGAAGCACATCGACACAGAGACAAATATCAAAAAGACGCATACACACAGATGCCGGAGATACACACGGACACACGCAATGCACTCGTACCGAAATGCCTCAACAGTATAGAAAGTAGGTTGTATGTACCGCAACGGACCAATTTGTGTGGCAGAGTTTTGAGTGTTGTCCCCTCGTGTGCAAGGTGGGGTCTTCTCCGGGCTCTGCGGTTTCTTCCCACCGCAAACAACCCGCGTGTAGAGAGAGTGAGAGCACTCGCTGCTGTGTGACGAATCGGCCAAGGATTCCAGATCGGGGACAACTCGGGTCAAGGGTTCCGATAGAATCGGTCTCAGTGAGCCACCCAAACTCGACTTAGAGCATGAGTTTGCCGTTCCGTGAGAATCGGTCTCAGTGAGCCACCCAAACTCGACTTCCCTCCTCCTCCTCACCACATCGTCACAATACGGCCGGAGAGGAAATACTTCGCCAAACGTGTTGCGATCAAAATGTTGCACCCACAACGACATTTCACGGCCAATTTGATGCATTTGTTTCGGTAACACGGTTGCTGAGCAAAGGGCCCCAACATGTAAAATGGACAGCAGCAAACGGTGCCGTTGTCACAGTTGTAATGGAGTGTAACGCGTTTGTTGAATTGAGCAAGGTTATTATCAAGAGCTTGGGGCGGGGGGGTGGTTAGATGATGGGAGATAACTCCAAAGGGCAGCAGTGCAAGGGGAAGAAGCAGAAAGGGGCCGTCCATAAATGACGTCACGCACCTGGGGGGGGGGGGGTCAGAAATGTGTGACGAGGGGAGGGGGGTTGAGAAATGTGACGTCACAACAAAATGCGCAACTTTAAATAAATATAGACAACACGTTCTATTTAATTAGTTAGACTCTTTATCCTACAACATCAGAGTGCAGCGCCACATTAAACACGCACTACAATGACAATAGTTTAACGCGATTTGAAGCATGTTTTATTTTTGGGGGGGAGGGGGGCAGAGCTTTGTGACGTCATATTTGAGGGGTGGTCTGACTTTTTGTGACCGTGTGACGAAGGGGGGGGGGGGTAAAAATCGTCCAAAATCGCGTGACGTCATTTATGGACGGCCCCATGGGCGGAGGAATCAATGAGTGAAATTCAACTTGTTCAGAAAAAGTGATTTTGACCTTTGACTCCGATCTCTCTCCGAGACAGATCTGCTGGCAGATCTTTCTCGACTAACCTGGCATATCATGGAAACGCCATTTATATATATAAAACTCGTGCTGTCCTTCAAGCTTGAGTTCTGGGAGATATCGGACCAACTTGGGGCAGATCGGGTTGACAGTCCCATGGGAACCACGGTGTTTCGAGCTCGGCTCAGCTCTCGGCATGGGCTTTGTGGTGGATCGTGATATGTTGCGATTGTAAGAATCATTTGGAATATGCAGCTTGCGCATGCTTCCTTCGCTCTCAAGAAGAGACGGCGAATGATTCGGAGCGCGCGGAAAACAACAGACGAGCGAACAAGGCAGCTGGCTGCCAACAATTGCCCGAGCTGCGTGGCCCTGAATGCGAGAGGGAGCTGAAGGAGATCCCGGAGAACCCACACCTGACAACGCCCCCACCCCCCACTCCCATGGGAGTCTTCTCATGTCTCTTGTGTCCGCATGTGGCATAGATTACAGCAGATGTATTCTTCTTCCTGTATACGTGTATTTGCCAAATATATAGCCACTTGCCATGCATGTGTATGTCTCTCTTTTTCAGTAGTCGGACTCAATAAGATACAGAGCCGGCCGTGAGTGACCGATGTCAATTCTAATGATGTTCTGGAAGGACTAGAGTGCTGAAATGTGATTCATCGTTGAAAATATTAGAATAGAAGATCAGAAATACATTTTAGACATTTTATCAATTCTGAGAAATGTGGACCGGTGGCGCAGCGGGTAGCGAATTCAGCACACTCCTCTATACACCCAGCAAGACGAGTTCAATTCTCAGCCGGGGCAACATCAGTGGCG